TATGCTGAATAACGGGGAGGGGATGGGATGGAGAAAGGCTGGGGAGGTTCGTCGCAGAACCCACTTTGCAACGGTCGCACCTTTGATTTTGCAGCTTTGTTTCCATTCTTTTACTGTTCCTGATTGTATATTCGCTCGTCAATACCTTTCTTCATCCAAAAACAGCAATGAAAGAATGGAAACAAAGCTACAAAATCAAAGGTGCGGCCGTTGCCCAGTGGGTCCTGCGACGAACCTCCCCAACCTTTCCCCATCCCCTCCCCAACATTCAGCATACGACCCTTGTTTAGCCTAGTTCGGTACACTATACGCGACATCAGCACGGAGCTATGTTACTGTAATAGGAATACTGTAGCAGAGTGTCATGGAAATAAGTTGAGTGAAATCTAGAAAAGTGTACCTAAGTGCCTAACCTTATGATTTTGAGCTGCTGTGGTACCTCTTAGTTCTTTTTGGATCCGAGCAGTGGCAGTTTCTCTAACAGTTGTGCTGTTCATGTACTGTTCAGAAGCGAAAGGTGAAGATACAAGTTGTTGGTCAGGCTTCTGCTTCACCTGCTTCATCTCCTTCATTGGCAGCGAATTTCCTCACATCCTCTTGCTTCATCTTTTCATTCACTTCAGGCAAGGACCTCTTCACTTTCTTTTGCTTCCTCTTTTCATCCACTTGGGCAGTGAAATGCGTTAATTCCTCCTGCTTCATCTTTTCATTCACTTCAGGCAAGGACCTCTTCACTTTCTTTTGCTTCCTCTTTTCATCCACTTGGGCAGTGAAATGCGTTAATTCCTCCTGCTTCGTATCTCCATTCACTTTGGCAGCGGATTTCTTCTCCTTCTCCTGCTTTATCTCTTTGTCACTAACTTTATTCACTTTCTTCACTTTGCCCCGCTTCAGATCTTCGTCCATTCTTCCGATGGATATCTTCATTTTCTGCTGTTTCATCTCTCCATGCTTCTGGGAAAAGGATTTCCTCACTTCCGCTCGTGTCATTTCTTCAGTCCACTTTCGGAGAGAATTTCTTTGCTCCCCCTTTCTTCATCTCATCAGTTACATTGGCGGCGGATTCCATCGTTTTCGCCTGAATAGCCAAAATTGCTCTGAAAGTCTACATTACTACGAAGAAATGTAACCAAAATACGCACCCACCAAACGGTCATACTTTTCCTTCCAAGCTTCAGTTATTTTCTCCTGTTTTCGAGTGAGTGTCACGTTTTTGCCGCTACGAACTGCTTTATATTTAACCCGACCTTCTTTGTAACAATGACCTTCGGACTTGGCGCATAGAAGAAGTTGGCAATGAAAAAATATCCTAAAATTGCCGCAGCCGTGGCGAGGAAAACCAGCAAGATGAGGACGATTCTCATTCTGTGAAATGTCAAACTTGGCTCGTAGATAGTTCTGAGGAGCTGGTTCAAAATACCAAAATGAAAGCGTCAATTTCTGGAAGGAATCGCTTTTTGAGCGATAACAGATGTTAAGATTGCTCCGCTATCCCAAGATACGGGGCATCTCCGAGGCTGGCCTGGAAGGGGCA